GGCCCCCTCCCTGCCCGCCCCTCCCTCCCTCCCCTCCTATCCCATTCCCCACCCATCCACACCTCCCCCCCCCCCCCACCCCCGAACCTGGGTCACACCAACAGGGAAACGCATGCTTGTCACCACGGGTCAAATATATCGTAGTTCCCCGGAGAGATCCCAAAAGGTTTGTGTGCAACATGGAAGGATCATGGAGTCTTGTAGCTCAGTGGTTAGAGCACTCGCCCCATAAGTGAGAGGGCTTGGGTTTGATTCTTGGTTGGGCGAAACGTTGGGCAAGTCTCCTTGTTCTTCCTTACACACACCGCTGTTTAATTAGCAGTAAGTAGGAATCTGGGGGTAATAATCCCTTAAAAAAAAAGTAGTTACTCAATCCAAGACTGTTTGTGGGCAATTGTCTGCCGCCTTTCACCCCAAAAATATACCGTCACTCCACTGTATAGTATACTCCGTGAAGCGCTGTGAGACGTTAGCGCTATATCATATGCAGAGAACGCGTTTAAACTGGTGCAATATCGTGGACAGTTCATCATATCAGTGTTGATGTGGAAGTGGCTTTACAGCAGCTGTCAGCCACTGGATTCCGAGTCGGGAGGTTGTGGGTTCGAGCCCCCAAGTCAGAGACTTTGAGCTCATAGTTTCGTCTGATGCTCCAGCACAGCGCTGCTGGGTGGAGGGGGGTGAGTGGGGGAGCACCGCATTGACAGACGGGTGTTAAAGATCTCCCGCAAGACACGATCGGGAAAAGAGAAGGGAGTGTCTCTGTCTCTCCCGGCGTTCCGGCCGATAATCCCTCAGATGAAATTGGTCGCTCACTTCACGGCTGTTCGTGGGACGTCACTGTGCGCTCGAAAATTATGGCGAAACCCTTCGCGGTTTTTCAAGCGTTGCTCGAGGAAAGGGATTTTGGGAAAATATAGACGCTTAAATAATTAAAAAGCTCGTTGCTGTCAGCGGCAGACATTTTGAAGGGACGTCAGATGCACAGTGACATCTCTGACTGTACGTCTGAGATCTCACTTCCTCTGCTGAATAATGGATGGAGAGAGAGCGAGAGAGAGAGAGAGCGGGCGTGCTGGTCGGCAATGGAGAAACATGTGGTGAAATAGACCAAAAAATATCTGACTCTGGGTGCGCTGGGACAAACTAGTCAACTAGTTAGCGAACTAAACTAAACGTAACTAACTATAATAATCCTATAATCTTGCATTTAATATAGCGCCTTATCACGTCGTAGAGACGTCTCAATGCGATTCACCGGATGCACTGTAAAGAGAATTGACTGTTTTGTGGGTGAAACGCGGCAGCCAATTGCGCACAGCAGCGTCCCCACAAACAGTCGTGGATCGACTGATCAAATTATTAATTCATTTGATTTTTTATTTCTTTGAAGGGATTATTACCCCCGGAAAAGCGATCCGCCAATCGACCAACAACCGGTTCCACATTATTATTATTATTATTACTATTAAATGACTAACTGCTGTGTGCCGTTGGCTGCCGCATTTCGCTCACAAAACACTCAGTCACTAGACTTTACAGTATATCCTGTGAAGAGCTTTGAGATGTCTCGAAGACGCGATAAGGCGCTATATCAAATGCAAGGATTATTATTATTATAACTAGTCCTCGCAGTGCCTATAACATCAAATCATCTCAGAGGGTTCTCACGGGGCACTCCTGTCGCTGGGGTGCAGACGGGATGAATTCTTGGCCACTTCAGGCTTGGAACGACCTTTTTTCGATTAGGACAGCTCTTTTCAAAGAGCCGGCATAGGCAGGATGGGCCGAATGGCCTCCTGTGCTGTATAATTCTATGGTTAAGATAAGACTGGGCCTCGGCCAGGGGGTAAATTGTCCTCCTCCCCACCCTACCCGAAACTGATGTTCAGACCCAGCACCCGCCGGGAGGTCCCAGGTGGCCTTTTATTAAGTGAAAAGCACGTAATTGAGATGCGAGGAGAGGATTAAAATGGAGGGTAAATAATTAATAGCTGAAATTTAATGAGGCGGAGACCGCAGGACAAAATGTGACATTGACTTCGAAGCTTGACAAGGGGGAGAGTTCAGCTCAATAGCCACCTCCTAATATAATAATAATAATAATCAATAACAGAATCAGAGAATATTACAGCACAGAAGGAGGCCATTCGGCCCATCGTGCCTGTACCGGCTCTTTGGAAGTCCCACACCCCCGCTCTTTCCTCAAATCCTTGCAAATATTTCCCGTTCGAGTACCTTTAATCCCAATTCCCTCTTGAAGTTGTTATGGAATCTGTTTGCACCAGCCTTTTAGGCCGTGTATTCCAGCCCGTAACAACTCTCTGTGTCAAAAAAGTCTCCTTATCTCCCCTCTGGTTCTTTTGCCAATTATCTTAAATCTGTGTCCTCTGGTTGTTCCTCTACTCTATCACAACCCCTCATAATTTTGAACTCCTCTATTAATTCTCCCCTTAATCTTCTCTAAGAAGAACAATTACAGCTTCTCTAGTCTCCGCACGTAACTAAAGTCCTTCATCCCTGGCACCAGGTAACACTCCTTATGTTTCATACAGCTGCGTTCACATCAGGAGGACGTCTCAAAGCCCTTCACAGGATTCATTATTGTAGTGACCGTGCGTTTTGTAGACAGCTCAGGTCATGCGCACAGCGACGTCCCGCAGACAGCCGTGAAGCGAGTGAGCGATTCTATCTGGCGGATTGTTGGCCAGGACAATCCCCTCAGATAAAATCAGCCGTGGGCAAGACAGGCGCCTTACAGTAAAATCCTGTGAAGCGCTTCGAGACGTCCTCCTGACGGCGATAAGGCTCTGTATCTAATGTAAGGATTCTTATTATTGTACGGCTGTTATTCCCACGAGTGGCCAACCACCGATCCGCGCGCTCCCTCCCTCGTCCTCACCCACCCTCTCGCGTCACCTCTTTAAGAGTGACAGGCAGTAAGTGAGCAACTGATTGGGATTGAGACAATTGACTGGCGGCCACAGATATAAAGACATAAAGACTTCTTTTCAAAGACTATCATTCTCACCTTCATCTTGGCTCCCCGGCTCACGGCCTCCTGGGCCTTGTTGACACTAAATTGCTTTGTCCGAGGATTTTGGATGCGGGAGACGAAATCGGAATGACATGGACATAGACCGCGTTTATTCAGCCCAGGGCGACCCGCTTTTTTTCCCCTCGACCTTTTGTGAGGCTTACACATCTGAAGAGAATATGCTCTTAAGGCTGACACTGAGGGGGCGCAATCCAGGGGTCAGGAGTTGGGGGGTAATCCTCCGATTCCACCTCTCGTCAATGGCCAGTCATCACCTAACAACAATCACCTCATAATAATAATATTCCTTGCATTTGATGCAGCACCTTATCACCTTATCGAATCCGTCTCAAAGCGCTTCACAGGGTGTACCGTAACGTGGAGTGACTGTATATTTTGTGGGCGAAACACGGCAGTCAGTGACATGGTTCCTGGTCTGGTGGTTGTTTTGTGGTGTTTAGAATCATAGAATTATACAGCACAAAAGGAGGCCATTCAGCCCATCATGTCTGTGCCGGCTCTTTGAAAATCAATCCCACACCCCCGCTCTCTCCCCGTAGCCCCGCAAACTTGTCCTCCCCAAATAATTATCTACTTCTCTCTTAAAAGTTGTTATCAAATCGGCTTCCCCACCTTTCAGGCAATGCAGTCCAGATCCCAACAACTCGCTGTGTGAAAACATTTCCCCTCACCTCCCCTCTGTTTCTTTGAACTACTATTTTAAATCGGTGTCCTCGGGTCACCGACCCACCCGCCAGTGGGAATAGTTTCTCCTCGTTCACCCTATCGAATCCCCTCATAATTTTGAAACTTCTATTAAGTCTCCTCTTAACCGTCTGTGCTCCAAGGAGAGTAGTCCTAACCTCTCTCGCCTCTCCTGGTTGTTGTTTTTAGTTGTTTCGCTTGTTGTTTTAGTGTTGTCGTTGTTGTTGTAGTCGTGTGGTTTTTTTGTTGTGGACTCCTGTGTTTTGCACTGTTGCAGACTGCCCTCGAATCCCCTTTAATCTCCCCTCAAGAGCCACACAGCCGGACTGAGGCACACCAGCCTCACAGATGGGTAGATAGATAGCTGCGTGTGTGTTTGTGTGTGTGTGAGGCTGTTAATCAGACCGAGAGACAGCGAGAGACAGTCAGCACACACATCAGGGCAGACACACTATCACAGCGTCCCAGCCTATCTCACCTCATCGATCTGCACAGCTCTGCACGGCCAGACTCCGCAGTGGGTGATTTATTTGACTGAATTAGCGTCAGCGCTCTATGATCTTCATACT